GGAAAGAGTCTGCCTGGGAAACTGGTATTTTCTTTAAAATAATCCTAAATAATTTTCTGTGCTGTTTCATGAGCCTTGCCCTCCTGTCCCAGCTGGAGGGGCTGTCCTGTGCCATCCTCTGTGGCCTGTATTTTGCAGGCACTTGCAGTCAACCCGTGCAGCAGCAGCAGGATTAATTGTTTCCCTTGGAGGACACAGGATTTATCTGCTTTGCTGCTGCTCACATTAGCCCCTGTGCCAGCTCTGCCTCCTGAGACACAAGCCTCCTCTCCAGACAAGCCATGCAGCCCTTTTGCATCTCAGCAGCCAGTCTTTCAGCTTAATCCAAAACCCATTCCAGACAAGTGCAATCAACTGTTTTATTACTTGTCATGTTAAAGCCCCTAATGTTTGGAAAGAAAGGAAGTGGGTTCTCCCCACCCAGAGCAGGGGGGCTGGCTGAGGTTTCAGGTGACTTCAATGCTGTATTTTGTCCATCATGCTGCTTTCTAGTGGTAGTTGAGAAAACCATTCTTGCAATCATTTGCATAGACATTAAAGCTAAAGAAGCTACAGGATTTGTTATCCAAAAGCTGATCTACAGGAGGAGAACATTTATGTTGCTGACAGCACATTGCAGTAAAGGGTGTAATTGAACAGGCTCTGAAAAAGGTTTAATTCTAAATATAGAGGGCCACACTATGCTCAATACTGTTTTGGAAAGTGTGGCTGAGCCATCATTATGTCTCTTCCCCTCCTCCACCTCTGCTGCAGGGTGTCAGAGGGTGAAGTGTACATTCCTGTGTTGCACTTTCTTGGTTTATTTCTGGTTTAAATCCAGTGGAGTTTATGGGGTAGGATGTGTTCTGATTTTAAGGTGAAGAGCAGTTCTGCTGCTGCTTATGCTGCCCTGGTGCTGAGGAATCTAAATGGCTGTAAGGTGGTTTTTTTATATTTAATTTCAATTTCTGTGTCATCTGAGCAAAAGAATGAGATGTATTTAATGGAGGAGAGCAGGATTGTTCCAGCAGGCCAGGGTGCTTTGTAATGTTGCAGAGGCAAGCAAAGGATCTGGCAGCTTGAAGGTGCTCTCAGCTGCTTTTGATATGTCTAAAAAACAATTCCCAATGTTATGTGGATCCCCAGAGAGCAAACTGCTGAGATCTGACTTAGAGTCCTCAGTTTTCTAGGGCTCCAGATAGTCTGTTGCATCCACAGATTCTGAAGGTGCCTCAGAAGCAGACACAGCCATTGCAGAGCTCTTTTCTTTTCAAGCTATATATTATTTAAAAAAAAAAAAAAAAAGATTTAACTCTTCTCCAGTCAAATTGTTCTTACCATCCGAACTAAGAGTGTGGTAGAATTTCACTGCAACTTGGCCAGCAGAGAAGTAATGTGTTCTGGAAAGTCTTGTGGGAAACTCAGATGAAAACGCTGCTGATCTTCTGGGTAATTGAGTCAGAGCAGCAATGCTCAGAGAAACGTGTCCAGGAGGCAATCATAGAGTCATGGGATGGTTTGGGTTGGAAAGGACCTTAAAGATCATCCAGTTCCAACTCCCCTGCATGGGCAGGGACAGCTACAGCACTCCCAGCCCTCTTCCAAGACTATTTTCCAAGTATTTTTAAGAGCTTAAGTCCTTCCTGCTGGAGTATTTCCCTGTGTGAAGTGCCTTCTCTATTTTGATCAACGCTGACCTTGTGTTTGGTGGAATTGTTGGTATTTACTGTAGCTGGATGCCACAGCGAGGGCAGATCTTAATTCTCCATCGGTCACACTGAGGTTACAGCCAGCAGAGCTGGAGACAAAAGGCAGCTGAGCACATGGGTGGGTAGAGCTCTGATGTAACCCACCAGCAAGGCAGTGACCAGAGGGTTAATCCGGTTTACAATGGGCTGAGCAGCTGCCAGCACCACCCCAGCATCACCCCAGCACGCAGCTCTAAGCCACATCTCCAGCCCAGTCATGCTTCACTCTGTTCCAAGAAGGATAATGTTTTGCAAGCTTTATGGTCCCACCACCCTGCAAGGGATCTCTCCCTGAATGGCACAAAATCCATGACAATGGAGGGTGGAAAAGGGGTTTTTGGGAGGTGGGTCCTCCCTCTGTCCAATTCTGGAGCCCCTAACTTAAGAAGGACATGGAGCTCTTGGAGAAAGTCCAGAGGAGGCCACGGAGATGATCCAAGGGCTGGAGCAGCTCTGCTCTGGAGACAGGCTGGGAGAGTTGGGGTGTTCAGCCTGGAGAAGTGAAGGCTCCAGGGAGACCTTAGAGCACCTTCCAGTGCCTGAAGGGGCTCCAGGAAAGCTGGTGAGGGACCTGGGACAAGGGCAGGGAGTGAGAGGACTAGAAGAGGGAGATTTAGGTGAGACATAAGGAGGAAATTCTTCCCTGTGAGGGTGGTGAGAGCCTGGCCCAGGTTGCCCAGGGAAGCTGTGGCTGCCCCATCCCTGGCAGTGTTGAAGGGCAGGTTGGATGGGGCTTGGAGCAACCTGGGCTGGTGGGAGGTGTCCCTGCCCATGGAGGGGGTTGGATCTAGATGGTCTTTAAGGTCCCTTCCAACCCAAAACATTCCATGATTCTATGAATTTGTGGGTTTTGTTGGCAATTCAGAGGAGCCACCTCCTCTTTTTCATCTCTTAGTTGATTTAAAACTTGTTATAACCCTGGTCCTTTTTTAGGCAAGTGTGTTTGGTAGCAGCACACCTAAAGAAGGGCAGATGTAGAGGAGGTGTAGATTTTTTAAGAGCTTGATCAGTGCTGTTGTCTCTCTGCAGCTGGGGCTGTTCCAGCAGCACATCCCATTTACCACCTGCTGCTGGGATGACTGGTTTCAGCTCCAAAACGGGTTCATCTCAGTGGAAGAAGCCTTGGTTAGGTTTTGGAAGAAAAATCTGGACATTGCTGTGACTCCCCTGCTCCGTCTGCTCTCACAGGGTTCAGAAATGCTACAGAAGGGAGGGGCATATGGGCAAAGGGAATTATTTTGTGATTAATTTAATTGCCAAACATCCAGATGTGGCAGAGGCTTTGTGTGGTGGCACTGGATTTGTGCATGCACTTTTTGCTCTGGCTTTGTTTCTGCACCATGTTGTGGTTTCCTTCCTCTCTGGGTATTTTTTTTTTCCTTCCTCTCTGGCATATTTGTCCACTGGAATCAGGATGCTGAGAGTGTATTTTCCTAACATTATGGCTTTTCATGTGGGAAAACGGAGCCATGGATGTGGACGTACCCTCATGTCTCTGTGTTCCTCTGCCCTGGGCTGTGGTAGTAGAGAGTAAGGGTGTTTTTGTAGCAGTTCACCTGAAAATACAAAGGTGTGGTCCCTGCACTAGTGAAAGAATATTTATGCTCCTGGAGAACTGTGCTTTATGTTCACAGCAGGGATGAAGAAGGTAGGAAATCAGCCAAGAGCTTCCAAGTGTGTGGGTTCCCCTCTGCATGCACACATGCCCACCACCTCTCACATTGCACTTCTGAGCCCCAGAGAGCAGGAGGAGCCATTCACTTACTCATTTTCTGATGTTCCATTGCTCAGTCAAGCCATCAGATGCAGAACTCAAGCTCACTGGTGCCTGCTTTCCTTTGCAACACCTCATTGCAGGGGAGCAGCTTGTGCAAGGTGCTGCTTGCTCTGTTGCTCATCTCCAAACAGTGGTTACTCCTCAAATCCAGGGATGGTGTGTTATGAAACTTCCCACTGTGTTTTAGTTGTGGCCACGTGGTACATGCTGGCATATTTTGTTCCTGATGACAGAGGGTTTATTTTTAAAGGGGTTAAGTGGAGGAAGGGAGAGCAGATGGGTTTGGTTTTCTCCAAGACTTGGGAAAGTGGGTTTTGCAGGTGTGGCCAGGTAGGGCTAGAGCTGCTGGTTCAGCTAAGCATGGAACAGAGTCTTAACACTTCCATAGGCAGGACTTCGGTCCCTGGGCACCAGAAGTTGTTAAATATTGCTCTGTGGAGGCAGGGAGGCAGGGCTTCCCCAGCACATCTGGGCTTGGGTTGGTAGGAGGTAGCAGTGGCTGGATGGCATCGGTCGGTCAGCGTGTAGCTCTTGAGCTGTCAGTTCTGCCGGGGTTTTTTTCTGGACTGCATCATGAAAATCTCACTCCAAACAATCCCCCCCTTTCTCCTTTCTGTTTTTCTAGGAGGCGAAGGGCAGAGTGGAGATGGGCAGCAGACCGTGCAGCCATCGTCAGTCGCTGGAATTGGCTCCAAGCCCACGTCTCGGACCTGGAATATCGAATCCGGCAGCAAACGGACATTTACAAGCAGATTAGAGCCAATAAGGTGAGGACCTGGGCCTGTTTTGAATACATGGGATTTTGCTCTGTCTGCCTCCACTTTTTTCTGACGCAGGGGAGAGTGTATATGCAAAGTCTGATGCTTTTTATCCACTTGAATCTCTCAAAGAGCACAGTGCACAGTTGTGACTAATTGCAGTGCTGATTGGCATGGGCTGAGTGTAATATTTACTCCCTGGTTCAGTTTGGTAACATGAAGGGAGTAATACCTTACTTTAAAGTCAGCCTTTGGGTACTAAACAACTTTTGGATACATGTTGCTGTTCTCTATTGTTGGAGCCTTTCTCTATTTTATTAATTTTCTTTAAAAACCTTCCTAGCCTTTCTGTTTGGGACTAACTGAAGATGGGGATAAGGAACAGCTTAACAAGAGACTTATTGGGGAAGGGAGGGAACTGGTGGAAATCAGCTTCAGATCCTGTCATATAGCAGGGGCTTAAAATTGAGTCTGTATCATAAAAAGACTGTTTCTAGGAGCTGACCTTTCTCAGTGGCAGGAATTAGTTTTTTCAGACTTGCTCTCAGATGGTGGGAGAATGGGGGAGAGCAGAGAAGGGATGAGGAAGGAATTGTTACTGAGACTTGTTCAGGCATGCACGACTAAATGTCAGGCCTTGGAGGGGAAGGAATGTCTGGAGTTTGTGGCAGGGAGGCTGGTGCTGTTGCATCAACTCAGAGATCCTCAGCAATTCAGAGTCCAGCAGAGGTTTTTCCCAGGATGTGGGGGGGTTGATGGGGAAAGGGGCTTCCAGGTGGGTAGAAAACACTGGCAGGGGAAGGAAGACTGGACCTTTATGCAGTTAAGTAGAAAAACAGACTAATTGAGTGAGTGAGGGCTCTAAATGACTGGGTGGAAGAGCATGGCTTGCTGAACAGAATACAGGGCTGAGGTGGGAGCAGAAAAAGGCTTCTGGGAAGTGGCCTCTATGTCAAATTAATTAACACATTTCAGAAAGAATTACCTTCCTCCTGTCTTAAGAAAGCCAACCATGCAAGATGGTTTCTCTGTGTAAAATACAAAATTCCTAAACATTTATATGCAAGAAAGTTAAGTAATGGAAGAAATGAGAAAACTCATTAGTGAAGTGGAAGAGTCAGTGTTGTCACCAGATGATGACAACTTGACAGACTTGTGAAATGGCCTGATCATGGCTACAAGCATCACATGTTTTTATCTAAGGTTGCAGTCTCCAGGGCTGAAAGGAGAAAATCATGATGCTGTGTCAAAGTTGAAAAGTCCAGCTGAAGTTTCAGAAAACAGGATGTCCTCTGCTCTGATTTATTCAAACAAAAACTCCATGACTGCAGTAGTATGTGAATTTAAGGTAGAGCAGTGGCAGAAGAGTTCAGATGTTGGAGGGTTTGGTAGTGGCTGTTCTGCCTCAACAAGAAAGTGAGTATCAAATATCCCATCTTTCTGGTGGGATTTCATGAATATCCCTGCTTGCACCCAGCTGCCCTTGTCTTGGTGTCTTTGAGCTCAAGGATGAAACGTGCTTCATTTTCACCAATGAAAAACTCAGAGTAAGATTCAGAAAAGCACCTTGGGACAAGTAAAGGGAGACTAGAGAAGCAGATGTTTCAGTAATAACAGAGCCTTGCTGGAATGAATTTGACTTCAAATTGTACAAGGACAGTAATTAAAGAATTTGGCGACACCTTGTTTTTTCTATCAGCATAACTCTAGCCTGTTTGGCCATAACGAGGTTAAAATGTGGCTGCAGCAGGGATTCAAAGTTGCTTTTCTATTTTATTATTTTGTTTAGCTTAATTACCTTTATAATTAAAGTTTACATCCCAGTGCACCTTTTTAAAAAGATGCATGGCTTTATCAAATTGCAAGAGAAGGAAAGGCAGGCAGTCAAAAATAGCCCTCTGTTCTGAAGGTACTGCTACCTGGGTGTCCTCAGCAGTAATTGTGTTTTCAGCACATTTGGGTCGTGTCACTTGGAGCCTGGTGAGATGTGGAGGAAAACAACAAACCTGTGAGTGGGTGTTCAAAGTTAGTTGTAAAGTGTTTTCTGGCACTTAAAAATAGCAGGCTGTTGGGCCTTCCATTTTATGTTGGTTTTAAGAGTGTGGAAAGTTAATTAAAGGGACTGGATGTCCATGAAGGTGGTTTTCTTTTCACAAATGTGCTTTGTTGGGCCTTTTTGAGATGGGGTGTGACAAGGTGCTGGTTTCCCCCATGCAGAGTCTTTGCACCTCTCTGCATGTGTGGGTGGCAGATGCTCTGTTTGGAAAGGAGCAGACAGCATTTTTTTTTCTCTTTTCCTGTGTCTCTATGAGTTTCACTCTTAGATGGAATAAGAGGTGAATCAGGATGAATTTTGTGCAGTGGGAGACTTGGGTGAGATAGAGCAGCCAAAACTCCTTAAAGATGGGCTTGTTTTGCACATCATCTCTGGAGACCCAGGTTCAGCTTGTTCCCAGAGCATCCCAGATGGTTTTGCTGTGTTCCCTTCAAGCTTTTGCTCTGCTGTTTGTGCAGCCTGTCCCGAGGGGAGGGCTTGTGCTCTGCCTGGAGCTGCTGAGTCAAGAGAAACACGTGATGGGTGGGGTGGGAGTTGGGAGGAGCCTCTTGCTGGAAGAATTTGCAGCTCTCACATGAGTTTCCTGTGTCTGCAGTGGTATGTGGGGCTCAGGGCACTGTTAAGAGGTGCTGCTCTCCCTCTGCAGGGCTGTTGAGGACACTCAGTATCTTTCTGATGTACATTAATGGGTGTCACAACCCTCTTCCTCACTCGTTAGTCCCTTGGCAGAAGCTGCTGACTGTTACAGCACCATGAGACATCTGAGATCTGTCTCCCTCTCTGTCTCTATCTGAGACCTCTACGATTGATTTCTCATTAATAACATCATTAGTGTTAAAAATGGGAATATAGAAGCAGCAAACTTGCCCGTAAATATTGGAGGGAGCCTTCCTTTTTCCTTTGTTTTGGAGAATGCTGGTGAAAAGCAGGTATTGTGTGACCTTGGAAGGAGCTGCTCCTTTCCCTTTCCATAAAGGGAGCTGGGAATGTGATGTTGCCCTTCTAAATCCTCTCTGTTATTCAGAAGTGTAAAAATAATGGGGATTTAAAACTCTTAGAGGCAAAGCAGAGAACACAGCCCTCAGTAGGAAGATGCTGTGGAGCATAGTGGGCTCAGACAGGGCAGCTTGTGTGTGAGGGCATGAAACCAAAGCTGTGCCTGTCACTGGGAAGGCCCTGTTCAGCATTGCCTCTGCTTCAGAGTCACCAGTAAAGGGACATGCTTCTAAACAAATACCCACAGTGTCTAGAATAGTAACTGCTCCCTCCTGAGGCCTGGAGCAGCTCCCTTCATCCTATTCCTTTAAACTGAAGGCAGAAGTTCTTGGTAGCTGTTTCTATTCCTGAGGCCCATGCTTCCCCATCTCATTCTCTTACTGAGCAAAGGAGAAGTTCAAGTGCCTCCCGGAGCATCAAAGAGAAGCAGTTTCCTTGGTTCCTGTTTTGCATTCAGTCCCAGTTTCCCCCTTTTTCATGTCCACTGTTTCCTACACCTGACTTCTGGACATGACTGACCTCTTTGCTGAGGTGCCTGAGGATGTTTCTAGAAGCAGTGGCCAAGTGTGATGGGTTGCTCTTGGAGGGGGATCTTTCAAGAGAGTAGGAAAAGCACAACAGTATTTAATTGAGTTTAGACTGAGAGCCTCTCTCACCCACTAAACACCCCTCTGGGATGTCAGAAAACTCTAGAAAATTGCCATCATGTTTATTCTAGAAGCTGGTTACTTCCTCATTGCTGGTCAGAGGCCACATGCCATTGTATTTAGTTTATGAACTGTTTTTCAATGAAGTATCTCTGAACTATGGGCTACCAGGATCTTTCTGGGCAGCCACGGATCTGTTGTTGCAAAGATTGTGTCAAGTCATAAGATAATCAGTCATGTAAGATTTGACTTTGTGGATGTAGAGGGAAGCCTTGTAGCTCTCTCCTCTCTCCAGATGACGTGTCCCAGGTTCCCTTCCAGGCTCACTTTCTCGTGACACACGGTGCAACCTCCAGAATTGTTCTCAGATGAGTGCTCTGCCTGTTCTTGATCTGAGCAGCCCTTTCCCTAGTTCCTTGGTTGACCAAATGTAAACTTGTTCTGGCTTGTCTTCGTCCTGGACTATATTCATAGCCTGTAGGTTCCACCAGCTCTCTTAATTCTTGGCACATTTCAGCCTGCTTTGTTATAATAGAGCTCAGAATACGCAGAATTGCAATGATTTTATTTTACATGGGGTTGTTCAAAGAGAAACCAGTCCTGCCTTTAGAGTAAAGCTTCACTGAGAGTAAAACATAAACAGGACAACAAATGTTCAGCCTGATGAAGCAGTCAGTGCTCTGCCTCTGTGCTTTGTCCTGCTAGGTTTATACCAATAGCTTGTTTATCAGTGTATTTTTTTCTCCTTACTGAATTTTGTGAATATCACTCCTTTTGGGAAAAAAAAAAAAAAAGAAAATATCTGCTCAGAGTAACAAGTTTGTCAGGTTTTGGCACCTGCTCAAAATGGTTTGCTTGGCTGTGGTGGTGAGTTCCAGTTGGGCCTGTGAAAGCAGTGGTTTCCTGCCCTGCTCTACAGCAAAATGTTCTCCCTGGGTTTGCTGGCACGCAGCTCGCTGGGGAGGGGAAGGGCTGGGGAGGGGAAGCACCATCCTTGCAGCACTTCTGCCCGAGAGGGAGCTAACTGTCTACTGCTAGTGGGCTGAAGGCATGTGGTCTGGCTGCAGCCACTGTCCTTCCCCCTCCAGGTTCAGCTTAGATGTCAGGAAAAGCCAGGCAGCCAGGGGGTTGGGTTTGGCATCGTCTGAAAAACACAGTGGGAAGGCAGGGCTTGTCATGCAGCAGCTGTTGTGTGTGGGGATGATGGATGTGCAGCTTCCCTGCTCTGACCAAAGGACCCGCCCTTAATCCCTGTTCCCTTTCCTGTCTTCCAGGGGCTGATAGTTCTTGGTGAAGCATCAACCCCTGATCCTGCAGGAGATGATGCATCCCGTCCCATTAGTGCTGAAGTGAAGCTGGAGCCTGGGGCTGAGCGCCTGGTAAGTGCCAGCAGCACAAGTGAATGGGTCCAGATCCTTCACCTTCCTGGATTTTGGCTGCGGAAGGTTCATCCTTGAAGCTGTGGAGAAGAGAGGTGCTCAAACCATGTGTCTGGCTTCCTGCAGAAGCACCTCTCTGTGTGACATCACCTGGGAATTGCCAGTGTGTTGGTCTGTGCAGGTCTCCCCCTCCCAGATTATTTTGGGGTTAATCAACAATAGGCTTTAAACACCTTTTAGAAGAGAGTTCCTTGGGATACCTTTTAAATATGCATGAGCATTTTGTGAAGCTTAAGAATCCTTACTAATCCTTTCCCTCTAGCAAAAAAGTAACTCAAACTGAGAGCAGCACAATTAGCAAAGGCTTCTAAGGATGTGACTATTAATATCTGCCTGAGTGGTACCCCTTGGAAAGGGAACTAATGATTTCAGTGAGATGCACTGGAAACTATGCAGAGTGCCAGGTATTTATTATTTAATGCAGAAATGTAGGCCACAGACTAAAGGCTTGATCGTACTGCTCAGCCTGGCTGTGATTACTTTTGATCCTGTGGGACAGATTGATGTATAAAAATCAAGGATTTTGAAGTTGTGGTGTAGTACTAAGAGAAGGGTGGTCCCTGCGTGGCTCCAACTCCTGCTGCCAAGCTGCAGCATTC